ATAGCCTATGATTGGCTCAGGGGAAAAAAAAAAAAAATCACTATTTCTCTATGGAGACGGTTCACATCTCCACTCCATGTTTGCCTGAAGCAGAACGCCTGAAGCTCAAAAAAGTTCTGGAGCTACTTTTGTAGCTCAAATTGGGCAGAGCTGCACATTTTTGGCAAGTTTACCTAGCAACAAATGATGCAATAGATGATATTGGGCACAATTCACTAAGCTGTATTTTATCAAGTCATGCAGTATTTTAGTAGTGAAACCCATGCGTTCATGTTTTAGCTGTGAGTGGGGTTCTCCAACTGACAGCTGAATGTAAAAGAATTGCCGGCAATTAAAAAATAATTAAAAAAACGGTGTGGGGTCCCCCCTCCATCCATACCAAGCCCTTGAGTCTGGTATGGATTTTGAGGGGAACACGCAAAAAAATCCATACCAGACCCTTATCTGAGCATGCAGCCCGACAGGTCAGGGAAGGGGGGGGTGAACGATCAAGCGCCCCCCCTGAACCATACCAGGCCACAAGCCCTCAACATGGAGGGGGTTCACCCCCCCAAAGCACCTTGTTCCCATGTTGATGGGAACAAGGGCCTCTTCCCCACAACCCTGGGCTGTGGTTGTGGGGGTCTGCGGACGGGGGGGGACCCAGATCCTGCCCCACCCATGTGAATGAGTATGGGGTACATGGTACCACTACCCATTCACAAAATAAAAACTGTAGTGTGAAAAAAGACAGGAGACATCTTTGACAAGTTCTTTATTAAAATAAGAAAACGAAAAGAAAGTCCCCCGAAGTAGATCCAACGTCAATCACGATGCCCACCGCTGCCACCAGACAAAAAAAAAAAAAAAAAAGGCTCCGCTCCCGACACTGGCCCCCACCGTCTGACTCTTCCGCTGGCTTAGCAGTTCTTAAATATGGAAAGGGCAGGGCAACCGGGGGACATCACCCATGTGACCCAGCCCCCGTGGGGCATGCTGGGTCAATGTCACACAGGGCCAGGTCACATATGTGATGGTCCCGCCCTTTACATATTTAAGAACTGTCAAGCCAGCAGTGCAGTTAGACGGCAGGGAGCCAGTGTTGGGAGTGGAGCCTTTTTTTTTTCTTTTTTCGGGATGGTGGTGGCTGCAGGCATCGCGATTGACGTTGGATCTACTTCGGGGGACATTCTATCATTTTCCTTCTTTTAATAAAGGACTTGTCAAAGGCTGTCTCCTGTCTTTTTACACAATATAGTATTTTTTTTTTTGTGAATGAGTAGCGGTACCATGTACCCCATACTCATTCACATGGGGGGGGGGATCTGGGGGCCCCCTTGCAGACTCCGATAAGCCCCCTGCCCACAGACCCCCACAACTACAGCTCAGGGTTGTGGGGAAGAGGCCCTTGTCCCCATCAACTTGGAGACAGTGCTTTGGGGGGGAGCCCCCCTGCCCCAAAGCATCCCCCCCCCATGTTGAGGGCAAGTGGCCTGGTACCTGGTATGGTTCAGGAGGAGGGGGGTGCTCGCTTGCCCCCCCCATTTCCTGACCTGCTGGGCTGCATGCTCAGATAGGGTCTGGTATGGATTTTGAGCTGGGCCCCACGCCATTTTTTTTTAACTTTGGCATGGGGGTTCCCCTCAAAATCCTAATTAGACCCAAAGGTCTTGGTATAGGTTGAGGGGTGGGGAACCCTACATCATTTTTTGTATTATTTTTTAAAAAAATTTTTCTTACATTCAGATGTAAGTGGGGAATCCTGCTGATAGCGGATTACTCATAGGTCGTTAGGGACTCAAAGGCCCATTTTTCTCTATTGGCTAATAAAAACCGGCAACGCTCAAAAAACAGCTAAAATACATGCAAAAAAACGAGGTAAAGTATACATGAAAAATCATGCTAAAAATGCTGAATAACACCACGCTCAGATGTGAATGGAGCCTAACTGACAATTGTGCGGTCATGCAACGCTGCATCCAAATTACATTTATGTCCTTTTTTTTCCCACAAATGGAGCTTTCTTTCAGTGGTATTTGATCACCTCTGCATTTTTTTTTTTTTTGTGCTCTAAAACAAAAAAAAAAAAAGACTGACAATTTTGAAAAAAATTATATTTTTTGACTTTTTGTTATAAAGCATATCCAATAAAAAAATAAAATGTTGTCATAAATTTAGGCCAAAATGTATTCTGCTACATGTCTTTGCTAAAAAAAAATCCAACAAGTGTATATTAATTGGTTTATGTGCAAGTTATAACGTTTGCAAATGGAGGTATATATACTGGAATTCTTAGATATTGTTGTTTACTAGTAATGGCAGCGATCAACGACTTATACCGGGACTGTGGTGGACATTCTGACACTGGGGGGGGGGGGAACCAGTGGCGGACTGACCATTTGGAAACTCAGGCACTGCCCGAGGGCCCGGGGTCAGTAGGGGGGCCTCATGAGATGCCCCTGGTACCTTTTTCATAGGCTTTTTTGAGTTTGGGTAAGGACACAGGGGCCCTATGATCCCCTAATGCCCGGGGGCCCTATGAGTTGTCAGTCCGCCCCTGGGGGGAACTGACTGTCAGTGACATACCCAGTGACACCAATAAAGTGATCAGTGCTAATAAAAAGCACTGACACTTCATTGGAAGTTACCAGTGGTCCCTTTGGCCTCTGTTTTGCGGAGAGTCAATATGGTCATGCTCATGGAACGTATTCAATATACATTGTTAGATAGGATTCATTTATTCAACGGAAAATGGGATGGTTGGAAAACACATCGACACTTACTGTTCGATTGATGGTCTATCATAGACTGATTTGTATTGAATCCTTGCTGGTTATGTGGTTGTTCTGCCCATCTTCCTGCCTACCTTTATCATGTACTTGATCTTTATTTTTCTATGATTGTGTTTTATATTACTGTTCATTACCTATGTGCCTTTTTCTTGATGTATGTTATACCTCATGAAGTTGTGCAATTTTTGCAGTCTCTCGCTCAATAAAAATGTTTTTTAAACAAAAAACACTCGCACTAGGGGCGGACTGACAACTCATGGGGCCCCCGGGCAATAGGGTGTCATGGGGCCCCTGTGTCCTTGCCAAAACTCAAAAAATCCTATGAAAAAGGTACCAGGGGCATCTCATGGGGCCCCCTACTGACCCCGGGCCCTCAGGCAGTTCCCGAGTTTCCAAATGGTCAGTCTGCCCCTGACTGGCACTGTACTATGACACTAGGCAAGAAGGGGTTAACATCTGGGGCAATCAAAGGGTTAACTGTGTGTTAGAGAGTGTTTTTATGGTGTACTGTGTGCTGTTTTACTAAGCAGACCTACTGCTTTCTATCTCTCTACTGTGCAGAGATAGAAAGCAGCATGTCCATGTTGACAGGAGAGTTTACACACATATCACTCCCCTCTCAGCTTCGCAGATGATCACTGAGTCCCGTCATCTGGAATCCAGTGATTGACATCCTCAGCAGCCAACAGGAGCGCAGGTAGGGCGGGACACGTACACCCCCTACCCAGATATGCAAAATCGCATATATTTACGTGAAGCTGCCCTGTAGCAGTACATCTGCTATGGGGCGGTGGGCAAGTGGTCAAATGATACATGAAGCTCCTGCCCTTACTTAAGATGGCCACTGCCAGAAATGTCAGGGGGTGTTCTTCAAAATGATTATATATTGTATACTGTCTGATTAAACTGGTTGCGTAGGGGTTAACCCTTTGAGGACCAAGGGACGTATTTGTCCCATGTTTTTAATTGGTGTATCATCTGATTAAGAACTCTTCTTTTTTTTTTTGGTTTGAGTCAAAATATTAGTTCTTATCAACAAACAACAAATGGATCTAGCTTTTTGCCAATTATTTCATGAAATGGCTTAGTTACAGCAACTGAAGTGTACGAACTTTAAAAACAAAAAAATTTATTCTTTTGGCGCTCCAAAATCTTACGGTCCTCAAAGGGTTAACATCTAGGGGCAAACAAAGGGTTAAATGTGTAATGTGTGTATTGAGCGCTGTATTTACTAATAGATCTCATTGTTTTTTACCCGATTTGCAGGGATGAGAAGCTGAAAGATCCTTCCCTCTGTACACCCCAAATTGATTGTCAACACAAGACTCTGGGCTGCGATTGGACAATCACAGCAGGCGAGGGGGAGGGAGGTGGGGGGAGCCCATGCTTGTGCCCTAAACCAGGAAGCAGCCAGCAACGTACTTTTCCTGCGTGTCATCAAATTGAATTTTGCACTTTTAACACGTATTCGGTTGGATTGAATGATTCCTAAAGGGGCAGTACACATTGCTTTTATTTATATAAAAAAAATCCAAAGCATTACCAAAAAGATGGAAAAAAACCCGCCTACCTACCTTGGAGTCTCCCTTCTTCACCTAGAAGCCAATGATATGAATTGTGTGAGATCCTGGGAAAGCTGAGGATAGCAGGCTTTGCAGGAGCTCATCATCGGGGGATTTGGGATGCTTGTTGGGTGGAGGGGGGGGGGTACTGCGTAGCTCATCTGCAGCGGACTGCAAGGTCTGCATCATTAATATTATTACCCTATTTTTCCATGACATCCTTCTCCATGCAGGGCTGCTGTTAGAAACCTTGGGGCCCCATACAGCCAACCTTGCAGGGCCCCCACTTCCAAAAAAAACATAGTTTACTATGCTTTAGTTATGAATGTACATAGTTATTGATTGGTACTGATCACTCATTGTGTTCATTCAGGAAAGGAAGGGGATGCTAAATATGATATATTTACCGGACCCTTTACCCATTCTCCATCCTGAAAGATCTTTTTGTGTGCTTGCAGCTGCTGAAAGGAGAGGGAGGCTTGCAGCACTGTGGGGGTGGGCGCACAAAGGGGGCCTGGGTCATTACTAGAACCGATCCCCTGTATGGCTTTCTCTGCAGCAGCTGAAAGTCAGCAGGAGGGAGAGGAGAATAAGTCAACTTTCAGCTGCTGCAGAGAGAGTTATACAGGGGATCGGTTCCAGTAATTACCCCCTCCCAGCATATCAATCACCGTCCCTGCCACCCTCCTGTCTCCATGGCACAACTACTCACCTTTTCTTTCTGGATCATCTTTTTATACAGGAAGTCTGGGTAGGTCCTCATCGGGAAGAAGGAGCCAGAGCCCTCGGCACACATGAAGGCGCCATTCTCATACACCACGCGGCCATGGCTAATGGTGACCAGCGGCACTCCGTGGCATCGCATGTTCTCGTAGGGGTTGAAATCTCCAGCCTGGACCTGGGTGCTGGCAGAGATGGTCCTGCAGAGCAGATAAAAAGACAACCTGCAATAAACAGCCTACAGGACTGAAAGAAGCAATATATATGACGTCAACATAACATTTCACCCTGACCACTGCACAGATGAAGAAGGGGAGATCATTATACAAAGTCTTCAATCGGTACAGCAGCTGGAGAAGGAGAGAGCTCACTGTGAACCTACACGGATTATACCGCCCGAGCGGTCCGCTACTGAGCTCAGCTGGAGAGGGAGAGAGCTCACTGTAAACCTACACGGATTATACCGCCTGAGCGGTCCGCTACTGAGCTCAGCTGGAGAAGGAGAGAGCTCACTGTGAACCTACACGGATTATACCGCCTGAGCGGTCCGCTACTGAGCTCAGCTGGAGAAGAAGAGAGAGCTCACTGTGAACCTACACGGATTATACCGCCTGAGCGTTCCGCTATTGAGCTCAGCTGGAGAAGAAGAGAGCTCACTGTGAACCTACACGAATTATACCGCCTGAGCGTTCCGCTACTGAGCTCAGCTGGAGAAGAAGAGAGCTCACTGTGAACCTGCACGGATTATACCACCTGAGCGGTCCGCTATTGAGCTCAGCTGGAGAAGGAGAGAGCTCACTGTAAACCTACACGGATTATACCGCCTGAGCGGTCCCCTACTGAGCTCAGCTGGAGAAGGAGAGAGCTCACTGTGAACCTACACGGATTATACCGCCTGAGCGGTCCCTGAGCTCAGCTGAGCTCAGTGAACTGGCCTGAGAAGGGAGAGGAGAGAGCTCACTGTGAACCTACACGGATTATACCGCCTGAGCGGTCCGCTACTGAGCTCAGCTGGAGAAGGAGAGAGCTCACTGTGAACCTACACGGATTATACCGCCTGAGCGGTCCGCTACTGAGCTCAGCTGGAGAAGGAGAGAGAGCTCACTGTGAACCTACACGGATTATACCGCCTGAGCGGTCCCCTACTGAGCTCAGCTGGAGAAGGAGAGAGCTCACTGTGAACCTACACGGATTATACCGCCTGAGCGGTCCGCTACTGAGCTCAGCTGGAGAAGGAGAGAGCCACTGTGAACCTACACGGATTATACCGCCTGAGCGGTCCGCTACTGAGCTCAGCTGGAGAAGGAGAGAGCTCACTGTGAACCTACACGGATTATACCGCCTGAGCGGTCCGCTACTGAGCTCAGCTGGAGAAGGAGAGAGCTCACTGTGAACCTACACGGATTATACCGCCTGAGCGGTCCGCTACTGAGCTCAGCTGGAGAAGGAGAGAGCTCACTGTAAACCTACACGGATTATACCGCCTGAGCGGTCCCCTACTGAGCTCAGCTGGAGAAGGAGAGAGCTCACTGTGAACCTACACGGATTATACCGCCTGAGCGGTCCGCTACTGAGCTCAGCTGGAGGAGAGAGCTCACTGTGAACCTACACGGATTATACCGCCTGAGCGGTCCGCTACTGAGCTCAGCTGGAGAAGGAGAGAGCTCACTGTGAACCTACACGGATTATACCGCCTGAGCGGTCCGCTACTGAGCTCAGCTGGAGAAGGAGAGAGCTCACTGTGAACCTACACGGATTATACCGCCTGAGCGTTCCGCTATTGAGCTCAGCTGGAGAAGAAGAGAGCTCACTGTGAACCTACACGAATTATACCGCCTGAGCGTTCCGCTACTGAGCTCAGCTGGAGAAGAAGAGAGCTCACTGTGAACCTACACGGATTATACCACCTGAGCGGTCCGCTATTGAGCTCAGCTGGAGAAGGAGAGAGAGCTCACTGTAAACCTACACGGATTATACCGCCTGAGCGGTCCCCTACTGAGCTCAGCTGGAGAAGGAGAGAGCTCACTGTGAACCTACACGGATTATACCGCCTGAGCGGTCCCCTACTGAGCTCAGCTGGAGAAGGAGAGAGCTCACTGTGAACCTACACGGATTATACCGCCTGAGCGGTCCCCTACTGAGCTCAGCTGGAGAAGGAGAGAGCTCACTGTGAACCTACACGGATTATACCGCCTGAGCGGTCCGCTACTGAGCTCAGCTGGAGAAGGAGAGAGCTCACTGTGAACCTACACGGATTATACCGCCTGAGCGGTCCCTACTGAGCTCAGCTGGAGAAGGAGAGAGCTCACTGAACCTACACGGATTATACCGCCTGAGCGGTCCGCTACTGAGCTCAGCTGGAGAAGGAGAGAGCTCACTGTGAACCTACACGGATTATACCGCCTGAGCGGTCCGCTACTGAGCTCAGCTGGAGAAGGAGAGAGCTCACTGTGAACCTACACGGATTATACCGCCTGAGCGGTCCCCTACTGAGCTCAGCTGGAGAAGGAGAGAGCTCACTGTGAACCTACACGGATTATACCGCCTGAGCGGTCCGCTACTGAGCTCAGCTGGAGAAGGAGAGAGCTCACTGTGAACCTACACGGATTATACCGCCTGAGCGGTCCCCTACTGAGCTCAGCTGGAGAAGGAGAGAGCTCACTGTGAACCTACACGGATTATACCGCCTGAGCGGTCCGCTACTGAGCTCAGCTGGAGAAGGAGAGAGCTCACTGTGAACCTACACGGATTATACCGCCTGAGCGGTCCGCTACTGAGCTCAGCTGGAGAAGGAGAGAGCTCACTGTGAACCTACACGGATTATACCGCCTGAGCGGTCCGCTACTGAGCTCAGCTGGAGAAGGAGAGAGCTCACTGTGAACCTACACGGATTATACCGCCTGAGCGGTTCCGCTATTGAGCTCAGCTGGAGAAGAAGAGAGCTCACTGTGAACCTACACGGATTATACCGCCTGAGCGGTCCGCTACTGAGCTCAGCTGGAGAAGGAGAGAGCTCACTGTGAACCTACACGGATTATACCGCCTGAGCGGTCCGCTACTGAGCTCAGCTGGAGAGGGAGAGAGAGCTCACTGTAAACCTACACGGATTATACCGCCTGAGCGGTCCGCTACTGAGCTCAGCTGGAGAAGGAGAGAGCTCACTGTGAACCTACACGGATTATACCGCCTGAGCGGTCCGCTACTGAGCTCAGCTGGAGAAGGAGAGAGCTCACTGTGAACCTACACGGATTATACCGCCTGAGCGGTCCCCTACTGAGCTCAGCTGGAGAAGGAGAGAGCTCACTATGAACCTACACGGATTATACCGCCTGAGCGGTCCGCTACTGAGCTCAGCTGGAGAAGGAGAGAGCTCACTGTGAACCTACACGGATTATACCGCCTGAGCGGTCCGCTACTGAGCTCAGCTGGAGAAGGAGAGAGCTCACTGTGAACCTACACGGATTATACCGCCTGAGCGGTCCGCTACTGAGCTCAGCTGGAGAAGGAGAGAGCTCACTGTGAACCTACACGGATTATACCGCCTGAGCGGTCCGCTACTGAGCTCAGCTGGAGAAGGAGAGAGCTCACTGTAAACCTACACGGATTATACCGCCTGAGCGGTCCGCTACTGAGCTCAGCTGGAGAAGGAGAGAGCTCACTGTGAACCTACACGGATTATACCGCCTGAGCGTTCCGCTATTGAGCTCAGCTGGAGAAGAAGAGAGCTCACTGTGAACCTACACGAATTATATACCGCCTGAGCGTTCCGCTACTGAGCTCAGCTGGAGAAGAAGAGAGCTCACTGTGAACCTACAAGGATTATACCACCTGAGCGGTCCGCTATTGAGCTCAGCTGGAGAAGGAGAGAGCTCACTGTAAACCTACACGGATTATACCGCCTGAGCGGTCCCCTACTGAGCTCAGCTGGAGAAGGAGAGAGCTCACTGTGAACCTACACGGATTATACCGCCTGAGCGGTCCTCTACTGAGCTCAGCTGGAGGAGAGAGCTCACTGTGAACCTACACGGATTATACCGCCTGAGCGGTCCGCTACTGAGCTCAGCTGGAGAAGGAGAGAGCTCACTGTGAACCTACATGGATTATACCGCCTGAGCGGTCCGCTACTCAGCTCAGCTGGAGAAGGATAGAGCGCACTGTGCACGTGCTCAGTCTGCAGGCCTGGGGCAGCTGCTAGGGGGCTCACAACTGTAATGTGCAGCCTGTCCCGCAAACATCAGGACAGACGAGGATCGAGGGGTCAGCGGTTTCTGCGCAGAGATCCCCCTGCAGCTGCTTGGAGGAGGTGTAGAATATGAAACGGGAGGAGTGTTGATGTGTATTATGCAGGAGATACAGTGATTTTTGGAAAATCAACTTAAACTTTAACTCAGCCTTTCTCAACCTTTTCAACGCAGCGGAACCCTTGACGTAACCTTTCCGGTCTCAGGGAGCCCCTGCTAAAAATGACTTTATCTACAATTCATGATACATTAGTGTGATGGTCAGTAGGAAGAATGCTCCTCACACACTTGTGGACAGTAGGAAGAATGCTCCTCACACTTGTGGTCAGTAGGAAGAATGCTCCTCACACTTGTGGTCAGTAGGAAGAATGCTCCTCACACTTGTGGTCAGTGGGAATAATGCTCCTCACACTTGTGGACATTGGGAAGAATGCTCCTCACACTTGTGGACATTGGGAAGAATGCTCCTCACACTTGTGGTCAGTGGGAAGAATGCTCCTCACACTTGTGGTCAGTGGGAAGAATGCTCCTCACACTTGTGGTCAGTGGGAAGAATGCTCCTCACACTTGTGGTCAGTGGGAAGAATGCTCCTCACACTTGTGGACATTGGGAAGAATGCTCCTCACACTTGTGGACATCGGGAAGAATGCTCCTCACACTTGTGGACATTGGGAAGAATTACCCCCTTACAGATTGCTAAAAAGATCAATGGTGTCAGTGGGAACTTACCTGAGAGGCAAAAATTGTTCATTGCTCAAGGAACCCCTAGCAACCTCTGGAAGGAACCCTAGTGTTGAGAAACCCTGTTTTAACCACTTGCTTCCCAAGCCTATTCTGGCATTTCTCTTGTACATGTAAAATGTATCTTTTTTTTTGCTAGAAAATTACTTAGAATTGGCACCTGACAGCACTAGGGTCATTGGTTCGAATCCCAACCACGGCACTACCTGCCTGGAGTTTGCATGTTCTCCCTGTGCATGCGTGGGTTTCCTCCGGGTACTCCGGTTTCCTCCCACCTCCAAAGACATGATGGTAGGTGAATTGGCTTCCGTCTAAATTGTCCATAGTATGTGTATGTATGAATGTAAGTTAGGGACCTTAGATTGTACACCCCTTGAGGGTTAGGGACTGATGTGAATGTACAATATATATGTAAAGCGCTGCGTAAATTAATGGCGCTATATAAGTACCTGAAATAATAATAATAATTTGTGCACCGCTTTTTTCTTTGGGGAAAAAAATACACGTTAAAAAAAGATGATGTTATACCGAGTAAATAGATACCAAACATGTTACGCTTTAAATCTAAACTTGCTCATGGAATTAAACAGGAACTGCAGGTAAACAGCAACATACACAATTGTATTATATCAAAGGATTTTGTATTTAAAAAATCAAAGATATAATTTAGAAAAAAAAAAAAAAAAAAAATCAAAGGATTTTGAATTCTGTTCAGCGCATGTGATCTGTAGATCTCAGCCACATTACATAGACAGGAGGGTGACTAAGCTTTACCACGGTCATCTCTCTGCTTCATCCACTCTCATTGGACAATGAACTAGCATTATCACACTGTTGATGGTCCAATGAACACGTGGGATTGGGAACTGTAAAGCTCAAAAAGGGAAACAGAAATGTCTTCCTCACTTTGGGGTGTCTTCCAGGATTATCGTCTAGATTGCAAAACTGGCTGAACAGAATTTTTAAAAACTTCACATAAATGCATTTCTGTTCTAAATCCAGCAGTTTGCCTAGAGCTTGGCATTTAGGCCCCTTTCACACGGGTGTTCTATTTTTTTTATCAGTTCAGTCACGTTTTTTCCCACGAAAAAACGGATCAGTTCACATCAGTGTTTCACCAGTTCACGTCAGTGTTTCACCAGTTCACGTCAGTGTTTCACCAGTTCACGTCAGTGTTTCATCAGTTCACGTCAGTGTTTCACCAGTTCACGTCAGTGTTTCACCAGTTCACGTCAGTGTTTCATCAGTTCACGTCAGTGTTTCATCAGTTCACGTCAGTGTTTCACCAGTTCACGTCAGTGTTTCATCAGTTCACGTCAGTGTTTCACCAGTTCACGTCAGTGTTTCACAAGTTCACGTCAGTGTTTCACCAGTTCACGTCAGTGTTTCACAGTTCACGTCAGTGTTTCTCCAGTTCACGTCAGTGTTTCATCAGTTCACGTCAGTGTTTCATCAGTTCACGTTAGTGTTTCATCAGTTCACGTCAGTGTTTCATCAGTTCACGTCAGTGTTTCATCAGTTCACGTCAGTGTTTCACACGTCAGTTTTCATGTCAGTGTTTTCACCAGTTCACGTCAGTGTTTCACCAGTTCACGTCAGTGTTTCACCAGTTCACGTCAGTGTTTCATCAGTTCACGTCAGCGTTTCACAAGTTCACGTCAGTGTTTCACCAGTTCACGTCAGTGTTTCACCAGTTCACGTCAGTGTTTCATCAGTTCACGTCAGCGTTTCACAAGTTCACGTCAGCGTTTCACAAGTTCACGTCAGCGTTTCATCAGTTCCCGTCAGCGTTTCATGAGTTCACGTCAGCGTTTCATCAGTTCACGTCAGCGTTTCATCAGTTCACGTCAGTTTTTCATCAGTTCACGTCAGCGTTTCATCAGTTCACGTCAGCTTTTCATCAGTTCACGTCAGCGTTTCATCAGTTCACGTCAGCGTTTCATCAGTTCACGTCAGTTTTTCATCAGTTCACGTCAGTGTCAGGTTTTTTTGTTTGTTTACATCCGATTTTGTCTGTTTTCACCCGTTTACATCCATTTTTGTCCGTTTACATCCATTGTTTTTTAAAACGGAATAATAATAGGGTTTTCTTCTGTTAAAAAAAAACGGATATTAACTGATTTAGACATTAACGAATGTAAACAGATGATCATCCTTTTACAGTGGATATAAAAAGTCTACACACCCCTGTTGAAATGTCAGGTTTCTGTGATGTAAAAAAATGAGACAAAGATAAATAATTTCTGAACTTTTTCCACCTTTATTGTGACCTATAATCTGTACAACTCAGATGAACAACAAACTGAAATCTTTTAGGTGGGAGTTATTTGGCCGCTCTTCCTTGCAAAAACACTCCACATCTGTCAGATTGTGAGGACATCTCCTGTGCACAGCCCTCTTCAGATTACCCCACAGATTTTCCATTGGATTCAGGTCTGGGCTCTGGCTGGGCCATTCTAAAACTTTCCTCTTCTTCTGGTGAAGCCATTCCTTTGTTGATTTGGATGTATGCTTTGGGTCTTTGTCATGCTCAAAGGTGAAGTTCCTCTTCATGTTCAGCTTTCTAGCAGAAGCCTGAAGGTTTTGTGCCAATATTGACTGGTATTTGGACCTGTTCCGAATTCCCTCTACCTTGACTAAAGCCCCAGTTCCAGCTGAAGAAGAACAGTCCCAAAGCATGATGCTGCCACCACCATGCTTCACGGTGGGTATGGTGTACTTTTGGTGATGTGCAGTGTTGTTTTTGCACCAAACATATCTTTTGGAATGATGGCCAAAAAGTTCAACCTTGGTTTCATCAGACCAGAACACATTTTCCCACATGCTTTTGGGAGACTTCAGATGTCTTTTTGCAAAATTTAGCCGGGGTGGATGTTTTTCTTTGTGAGAGAAGGCTTCCGTCTTGCCTCTACCCCATAGCCCAGACATATGAAGAATACGGGAGATTGTTGTCACATGGACCACACACACAGTACTTGCCAGATATTCCTGCAGCTCCTTTCATGTTGCTGTAGGCCTCTTGGCAGCCTCCCAGACCAGTTTTCTTCTCGTCTTTTCATCCATTTTGGAGGGACGTCCAGTTCTTGGTGATGTCATTGTTGTGCCATATTTTCTCCACTTGATGATGACTGTCTTCACTGTGTTCTATGGTATATCTAATGCCTTGGAAATTCTTTTGTACCCTTCTCCTGACTGATACCTTTTAACAATGAGATCCCTCTGATGCTTTGGAAGCTCTCTGCGGACCATGGCTTTTGCTGTCGGATGCGACTAAGAAAATGTCAGGAAAGACCTACTAGAACAGCTCAACTTTATTTGGGGTTCATCAGAGGCACTTTAAATGATGGCGGGTGTGTACTGAGTCCTATTTGACATGATTTTGAATGTAATTGTTTAATTTTGAAAACAGTTATAAGAGGGTGTGTACACTTATGCAACCACATTATTATAGTTTTTTATGTTTGTTTACTCCCCCCCCAAAAAAAAAAAAAATTCAGTTTTTAATTTTGAACACAGTTATAAGAGGGTGTGTACACTTATGCAACCACATTATTTTAGTTTTTTATGTTTACTTCCCTCCCCCCAAAAAAAAATTCAGTTTACTTTTCAATTGAGTTGTACAGTTTATAGGTCACATTAAAGGTGGAAAAAGTTCTGAAATGATTTTTCTTTGTCTCATTTTTTTACATCACAGAAACCTGACATTTTAACAGGGGCGTGTAGACTTTTTATATCCACTGTGCATCCGCTAGTCCATAGAAATACATGGGTGTCCGTTCTTCATCCGTAAACGGACAGATGAAAAGCGGACATACGGAAAGTCCATGTGAAAGGGGCCTTACAGAAGATACTTTAATCTCAAAGCTGGTAACATTTACAAAAGTACAGTTAACCGTTCCAGCACCATGGACACGCTTTTTACGTACCTGGTGGCTTCTGGATCCCACACCACAATATCGGCATCGGCTCCGGGGATAATACGCCCTTTACGGGGGTACATGTTGTGAATCTTGGCTGCGTTGGAGCTCGTCACAGCTACAAATCTGTTCTCATCCATCTTTCCTCCCACCTGCAACAAAGACATGATTGTGTAAAGACAGGGCCAGCATATAGCGGTAAAGAAATATGAAGCCATTGAAATGAAATAACTCCAAGTGTGAACACTGCCTTAAACCTGAAGTGTAATGTGTGCACATAATACCTTCTCTTGATGACCCCCAAACCACCTCTGCCCCCCCATTGTTCAATTAAATGCGTTCAATCAAATGTTTTTTTCAAGAAATACATTTTATGAGACCCACTGACATCAGTACTGGGTCTGCTTGCTACTTTTTGACCAGAGTTTGCTGGGAGGGTCTGGCAGTTTCCTTTAAACTCGGATCTTCCTTCAAGAGCGTTATATGAAAGAACACATCCCAAGAATCCCTTTAGAAGTGCATGCTCCTCTCTGATGCAACAGGTGATGCAACTGCTTAAAGTGGAACTTCATTCTCTCAGTCAACATTGACTATTTTTAATCCATATGATGCTAGCATTAGTGAATAGATAAGTAAATGTAATACATTTTCCCATTTTAAACTTCTTTTTACATTTCTTCAGTGACTTCCTGGCTTCCAAGGCTAGGCAAACGATAACATACATCCCAGGAATCTTCAGGAGGAGAGGAGCGGTTTTCTCAGCTACGCACACCCTCCTGCTTGCATGTCCAAGCTAAGGGCACATGGATGCCAGGAAGTAAATGCTACATGAATCATCTGCCCTTACTTAAAGTGGAACTGCACTGCATCTGAGCACCACAAACCAAAAATGCTATTTAATTGTTAATATTCAAAGCGCACTCCCACATCCATCCGTATCTCCATGCTTTATTTTACTGAGAATTCAATTTGAAAACCACTCCCTGCTATTTCCAAAAGTGGCCATCTTGAGTTAGGGCAAATGATTTATGTAACAGTTACTTCCTGGAATCCATTTGCCTTTAGCCCAGGCATTGGCTGAGCTTAAAACCCTCCCTCCCCTCCTGAGGACTGCTGGGATGTATGACATCATTTGCTTAGGCATGGAAAGCAGGAAGTAATTGAAGAAATGTAAAAAAAAAAGTTAAAAACAATATGATATACTTCCCTATATATTTACTAATACTAGCAGCATAAGGATTAAAAATAGTCCATGTTGACTGGAAGACTGAAGTTCCACATTAAGATGGCCACGGCCAGAAATGCTAGGGGTGTGCTTTTCAAAGTGATTTCTCAGCAAAATAAAGCACGGAGGGATGGATGGGGGGGGGTTGCTTTAAATATTAACAATTTATTAAATAGTATTTTTGGTTTGTGATCAGATGCAGTGCAGTTCCACTTTACAGAGGAGCTCCACCCAAAAAGGGAAGTTCGCTTTAAGCCTCTGTTCCCCGCTCCCGATTAAGGATTGGCACCTTTGGGGAGCGGGTACCCGAACTTGACAGGTAGACACTCCCACTTCCGCTGCGATCGCCTAAGCCAGGGGTAGGCAACCTGCGGCTCTCTAGCTGTTGTGGAACTACATTTCCCATGAGGCATTGCAACATTACAAAACTGACAGTTACAGCTATGACTTAGAGGCATGATGGAACTTGTAGTCCTGCAACAGCTGGAGAGCCGCAGGTTGACTACCCCTGGCCTAAGCGATCGGAAGCGGAAGTTGTCCTCCCAGAAGACTACAGGGCCATTCACAAAGCGCAGAGCTACTCACGCATGCGCAATGGGCACCTGGCTGTGAAGCCGCAGGCTGTCACAGCAGGGTGCCCACACTAAAGATGCCTGTGCCAGGGAGAGAAGACGGCCAGTGAGGACACCGCTGGACTGAGGGACAGGGAAGTGACTGTATTTTAAAAGTCAGCAGCTACAGTTTTTGTACTTGTTTACTACTATTCATGTGATCACTGATTGGCCAATCAGTGATCACATGATCGGAACCTCACACAGAGGTCCCGTACATCGATCGGTGTTCCGCTGTGTCCTCTGGAGAGGGAACGTGCACAGGCAATGGATGCGGGGGAACGTTCAGAAACGTCCACCCGCATCGGCAGCGCTCCCGTTTCTGAACGTCCCCCTGCATCCATTGCCTGTGCACGTTCATCAACATGAGCCGGACGGGAAGAGGTTAATCTGTGATGGAAAAAAATGTGACTGTGATTCTAGACTACTTCACAACAGATTTATTTAAAGGGAATATATATTATTTAAAGGGATGCTGATCACAGTACCTTCCAGACAGAGGAGACTCTACAGTGATGCCTATGAAAAATAATCATCTAAATAAAAAAAATCTCATAAAAGTGAAAACAGCATCCTCGATGTGTATATACTGACAGTACACTATAGCTCCTATACGTGCCGTGACCCATAACAACCAATCACCGATCAATGTTCAATACTATGGGTACAGCAGTGTGCCTTGTTCACTATCCCAATCTTTTCTACATTATGTTTAAATAAAGCTTCTTTATTCAGTATTCAGCAGAATCCTCAACCCAAGGTTGTGATTTTTGGATTTTGTGTTATTGTACGTATATGGCTGGAAGAGACAACCTCCCAATGGGGCCATTTACAGCCAGATAGGAAAACAAAGTAGTAATCAAACAAATTTTTCAAATATAAAAGACACATTCCCTCTGATGTGACTTGAGTACAGGCTGAAACACACTCACCACGCCTTTCTCCCATATGACGCTCATGCGGTCCTGAACTCCACCCATTCCGTGTGGAATCTTGGTGAAGTCCTCTTTGCCCATGGCTTTCTGTTTGATGGTGAATGTTCTGTGGTCTGAGGACACCACGTTGAGCGTGTCACTGGAGGGGGAGACATGCGTGATTGGTTATTACTGTTGTCCATTTATAAAAAAATTACGGTCAGGTATACAAAACGGCGGTAAGCTTCTATTTCCTAAACTATATTTAAGTGGTAACGAATCAGTCCGCTCAAAAATGATTTTTTTTTACTTTCAGGCAGAGTCTAAAAGACCTTTAAACAATTCCAGAGGTTAGATCTCTCTCACCCACCTGGAAGTTTGAGCTGCCTCTGCCTACTTTGGGGTGTGTTTCCACTCTTACTGCTGCATTCTTCACAATGTAAAATACATACAAAATTCAACAGGGGTCAGCTTCCGATGCGCCTCCCCCTACAGCCTCCCTAATTTAGGTACACCCTAGACAAGAGGTCTCCAAACTTTCTAAGCAAAGGGCCAGTGGGAGTAAACAATGGCTCAGACTTGATGGTCAGTGGAAGTAAAAAAAAAAAATACATACCACTTCTAGTCAGTAGGAAGACAAATAGTGCCCCATCATTGGTATCAGTGGGAGGAATAGTGCCCCATCATTGGTATCAGTGGGAGGAATAGTGCCCCATCATTTGTATCAGTGGGAGGAATAGTGCCCCATCATTGGTATCAGTGGGAGGAATAGTGCCCCATCATTGGTATCAGTGGGAGGAATAGTGCCCCATCATTGGTATCAGTGGGAGGAATAGTGCCCCATCATTGGAATCAGTGGGAAGAATAGTGCCCCATCATTGGTATCAGTGGGAGGAATAGTGCCCCATCATTGGTATCAGTGGGAGGAATAGTGCCCCATCATTGGTGTCAGTGGGAGGAATAGTGCCCATCATTGGTATCAGTGGGAGGAATAGTGCCCCATCATTGGTGTCAGTTGGAGGAATAGTGCCCCATCATTGGTATCAGTGGGAGGAATAGAGCCCCATCATTGGTATCAGTGGGAGGAATAGCGCCCCATCATTGGTGTCAGTGGGAGGAATAGTGCCCATCATTGGTATCAGTGGGAGGAATAGTGCCCCATCATTGGTGTCAGTGGGAGGAATAGTGCCCCATCACTTGGTGTCAGTGGGAGGAATAGTGCCCCATCATTGGTGTCAGTGGGAGGAATAGTGCCCCATCATTGGTGTCAGTGGAAGGAATAGTGCCCCATCATTGGTGTTAATTGGGAGGAATAGTGTCCCATCATTGGTATTGATGGGAGGAATAGTGTCCCATCGTTGGTATCAGTGGGAGGAATAGCGCCCCATCATTGGTGTCAGTGGGAGGAATAGTGCCCCATCATTAGTGTCAGTGGAAGGAATAGTGCCCCATCATTGGTGTTAATTGGAGGAATAGTGCCCCATCATTGGTATTGATGGGAGGAATAGCGCCCCATCATTGGTATCAGTGGGAGGAATAGTGTCCCATCATTGGTATCAGTGGGAGGAATAGTGCCCCATCATTGGTATCAGTGGGAGGAATAGTGCCCCCATCATTGGTATCAGTGGGAGGAATAGTGCCCAATCATTGGTATCAGTGGGAGGAATAGTACCCCATCATTGGTATCTGTTGGAGGAATAGTGCACAATCATATATATTTGTGGGAGAAATTATGCCCCATTGGCCAGAAAAAAGCTAAGGGGCCACAGTTTGGAAAACACTGCCCTGCACCAACGTCTACTACCACCTATAGGAGTGGGACCAGACCCTCACCCCTCATATTTTGGGGTAGGTCGGAGACCCATATTAGGCCATCCTTCTTTCCATAATGTAGATCCTCAGTGGGAGGAATAGTGCTCCATCATTGGTATCAGTGGGAGGAATAGTGTCCCATCATTGGTATCAGTGGAGGAATAGTGTCCCATCATTGGTATCAGTGGGAGGAATAGTGCCCCATCATTGGTATCAGTGGGAGGAATAGTGCCCCATCATTGGTATCAGTGGGAGGAATAGTGCCCCATCATTGGTGTCAGTGGGAGGAATAGTGCCCCATCATTGGTGTCAGTGGGAGGAATAGTGCCCCATCATTGGTGTCAGTGGGAGGAATAGTGCCCCTTCATTGGTATCAGTGGGAGGAATAGTGCCCCATCATTGGTATCAGTGGGAGGAATAGTGCCCATCATTGGTATCAGTGGGAGGAATAGTGCCCCATCATTGGTATCAGTGGGAGGAATAGTGCCCCATCATTGGTGTCAGTGGGAGGAATAGTGCCCATCATTGGTATCAGTGGGAGGAATAGTGCCCCATCATTGGTGTCAGTGGGAGGAATAGTGCCCCATCACTGGTGTCAGTGGGAGGAATAGTGCCCCATCATTGGTGTCAGTGGGAGGAATAGTGCCCCATCATTAGTGTCAGTGGAAGGAATAGTGCCCCATCATTGGTGTTAATTGGAGGAATAGTGTCCCATCATTGGTATTGATGGAGGAATAGTGTCCCATCGTTGGTATCAGTGGGAGGAATAGCGCCCCATCATTGGTGTCAGTGGGAGGAATAGTGCCCCATCATTAGTGTCAGTGGAAGGAATAGTGCCCCATCATTGGTGTTAATTGGAGGAATAGTGCCCCATCATTGGTATTGATGGGAGGAATAGTGTCCCATCGTTGGTATCAGTGGGAGGAATAGCGCCCCATCATTGGTATCAGTGGGAGGAATAGTGTCCCATCATTGGTATCAGTGGGAGGAATAGTGCCCCATCATTGGTATCAGTGGGAGGAATAGTACCCCATCATTGGTATCTGTTGGAGGAATAGTGCACAATCATATATATTTGTGGGAGAAATTATGCCCCATTGGCCAGAAAAAGGCTAAGGGGCCACAGTTTGGAAAACACTGCCCTGCACCAACGTCTACTACCACCTATAGGAGTGGGACCAGACCCTCACCCCTCATATTTTGGGGTAGGTCGGAGACCCATATTAGGCCATCCTTCTTTCCATAATGTAGATCCTCAGTGGGAGGAATAGTGCTCCATCATTGGTATCAGTGGGAGGAATAGTGTCCCATCATTGGTATCAGTGCGAGGAATAGTGTCCCATCATGGTATCAGTGGGAGGAATAGTGCCCCATCATTGGTATCAGTGGGAGGAATAGTGCCCCATCATTGGTATCAGTGGGAGGAATAGTGCCCCATCATTGGTGTCAGTGGGAGGAATAGTGCCCCATCATTGGTGTCAGTGGGAGGAATAGTGCCCCATCATTGGTGTCAGTGGGAGGAATAGTGCCCCATCATTGGTGTCAGTGGGAGGAATAGTGCCCCATCATTGGTATCAGTGGGAGGAATAGTGCCCCATCATTGGTATCAGTGGGAGGAATAGTGCCCCATCATTGGTATCAGTGGGAGGAATAGTGCCCCATCATTGGTATCAGTGGGAGGAATAGTGCCCCATCATTGGTATCAGTGGGAGGAATAGTGCCCCATCATTGGTATCAGTGGGGGGAATAGTGCCCCATCATTGGTATCAGTGGGAGGAATAGTGCCCCATCATTGGTATCAGTGGGAGGAATAGTGCCCCATCATTGGTATCAATGGGAGGAATAGTGCCCCATCATTGGTGTCAGTGGTAGGAATAGTGCCCCATCATTGGTATCAGTGGGAGGAATAGTGCCCCATCATTGGTATCAGTGGGAGGAATAGTGCCCCATCATTGGTATCAGTGGGAGGAATAGTGCCCCAACATTGGTATCAATGGGGAGGAATAGTGTCCCATCATTGGTATCAGGGGAGGAATAGTGTCCCATCATTGGTATCAGTAGCAGGAATAGTGCCCCATTATTGGTATCAGTGGGAGGAATAGTGCCCCATCATTGGTATCAGTGGGAGGAATAGTGCTCAATCCTATATATTTGTGGGAGAAATTATGCCCCATTGGCCAGAAAAAGGCTAAGAAGGGGCCACAGTTTGGAAAACACTGCCCTGCACAAACGTCTACTACCACCTATAGGAGTGGGACCAGACCCTCTTCAGTTCCTGCTGCAGTGAAGCATGGTGGTGGTAGTGTCATGGCGTGGGCATGTATTGCTGCCAATGGAACTGGTTCTCTTGTATTTATGATGATGTGACTGCTGACAAAAGCAGCAGGATGAATTCTGAAGTGTTTCGGGAATATTATCTGCTCATATTCAGCCAAATGCTTCACAACTCATTGGACGCCGCTTCACAGTGCAGATGGACAATGACCCAAAGCATACTGCAAAAGCAACCAAAGAGTTTTTTAAGGGAAAGAAGTGGAATGTTATGCAATGGCCAAGTCAATCACCTGACCTGAATCCGATTGAGCATGCATTTCACTTGCTGAAGACAAAACTGAAGGGAAAATGCCCCAAAAAAACAGGAACTGAAGACAGTTGCAGTAGAGGCCTGGCAGAGCATCACCAGGGATGAAACCCAGCGTCTGGTGATGTCTATGCGTTCCATACTTCAGGATGTAATTGACTGCAAAGGATTTGCAACCAAGTATTAAAAAGTGAAAGTTTGATTTATGATTATTATTCTGTCCCATTACTTTTGGTCCCTTACAAATGGGAGGCACATATGCAAACTATTGTAATTCCAACACCGTTCACCTGATTTGGATGTAAATACCCTCAAATTAAAGCTGACAGTCTGCAGTTAAAGCACATCTTGTTCATTTCATTTCAAATCCATTGTGGTGGTGTACAGAGCCAAAAATGTTAGAATTGTGTTGATGTCCCAATATTTATGGACCTGACTGTAAGTCTGGTATAGGAAAGGGCAAGAGACAGTTAACCTCCCTGGCGGTATGATTATTTCAGATTTTTGTGCTGAAAGCGGTACCATTATTTTTGCATGGAAATATGTTGTTTTTTTTATTGTAGGCTGTAATTTTTAGGAATAACTCACTGAAATCTGTCCGAACAAGAGTTTAGTAAACATTCCGGGTATGATAAAATTTGAAACATGAAATCATAAATGATAATTTAATAATTATAACAAATAATAATATAATAATAATACATTTAATTCAATAATATAATCAAACCAAAAACACTGAAATTTGAAATATAGCGCCAAATTCGCAC